CATCACAGTCAGTGTTGAAATGCTAGCTCCTCCAAATAGCAGAGAGACACTAACATCAGCTGCTTCTCTTTCTCTAAGAAAAATCACAGAATCTTGTCTTGTTCTCAATGTGGAAGACTGAGAGTTCCTCGTTCTGTGAGTAATGCTAGTAAGAAGTGTTTCTTTTGAACGGAGATGAACAATTTTACCAGCCACAAAACACAGGTCTTAGAGAACCATGCCTCAGCAATTAAGGGTACACAAGGCTATAAAGTATTGCCATATGGGATTATAAACAACTAAACCAAGTCCCTAATGGCAAAGAAATGCCAGCACATTAACACATTTTAATTTCCGCTGTTATGTTCATGCAAAATTATTTCCTCACTGCTTCTTCCCTTACAGTCACTAAATTTAATATTAATTTGGGGAGAACGCCTTTCATACTCCTTACAGCACACCTGCACTTGTAGCACATTAAGAACAAAGAATTGCTTCCTGGGTTACCCACCCACATTAAAGCAGACACAAAAGTCAGATTCGGCATTTGTAACCAGAACCTTTTTACCAAATACAGTTCTGGAGACATGGCTTGGTTGTTACAGGCTTCCAATACTCTGGGAACAAACCCACAGGTTCCCTTAGCCAGTAGTTCAGAAAGCTAAGCCTGCTTGCTTTCTGGCAGAACACTGGTTTTGAGAAGACACGGTTGCTCTGAATAAAAACCCTGCCCCCAGTGTGCTGACTGCTCCCCCCATCTTGGTGTCATCTGCGACCCTGACAAAGATGCAGTCTGTCCAGCTGTCCTGGTCACCGATTAAGATGTTACACTGAAACACATCTTGACTTGTACAGAAACAGACAACGATTTGTACTTCCAGCGTATCCTGAATTCGTATTTTGTTATTGCTTGAAAAATATAGAATTGTGCTTGTCTGTCACCTACATAACAATTCTTAGTTTCGTGATATTACATTTATACTCGTCTTCACCAATCTTGTCTAATCTTCTTGAGAGGTTAGAACTGTATAGTGTAATATGCAAAAACATACTTTTCAAAATATTTTATTTTATCATTTTACCTCTGTGTTTTCATTAATTTTGACTTTCATGTATTGCATGGAAGATCTAGTACTTTGGCTCTGCCTGTAACTTCAAGTCATCTGACAGATGACTTTTTATTCTACACTATGACCCAATTTAATCTCATCCACCCGTATGTCTTTGCGTTGTCATTTTTATCTGAAGTTGAGTTACTCGTAAGGAGAGACAGCAGCACCCCTATGCGAAATATTCAAAAAGCTTTCCAACAGAAGTTTCTGAATCTCACTCAGACATTTTAACTTTTTCCTGTGAGTTCCTGTTCAAATTCTATTGCTTTTATGCCATGTATTGGGATTCCAGTCCCCCCATGATAAAACTCTACAGATGTGGCTACTCTGTGAATTCCTATTGTTATAAAATCTCTGCCGCTTGTAGTCATAAATGCGGCCCTATATTGCAGAAAGGTTTGATCCATCCAAGGCAAAGCAGAGATTTGAATGCGAGATCAAATGACCGCATTACTTTGTTCTCCTGCTCTATCGCCTTCCTGGACTTCCCCGCAGCCCAATGCAAAGTGCTTCCAACAACTCCTTGGAGATTCAGTACGGAGCTTTGTGCAACACAGGCCAAAACCGAGGTATGAGGGGAGCGCCAGTCAGACGCACGCTGCACGAAGACAGCTTCAAACATGAGATGTATTCCAAGCTCTGTGCAGATGCTAGAGCAGAACAGGACAGGCAAAACCAGGCCCCAAAGCAAGCTATGGCTTATTTCTTGCACACAGTAGTAAAAGCTTTATTGATGCCTTGCACACAGTTGGACCCACATATTCACAAAGCCCGAGAGGCTGAGTGCAAAGGAGGTTCACTTCCCCAGCAGTCTGTAGGAGAAGGAGTCAAGACAGAAAAACAGATCTCTCTTCAGCCTTATCTTTACACATGGAGAGTACAAAAGAGGGACATGTCGCTGGAAACGGTGTGAGAACAGATCTGCACAGTTTCAAATTCTTTCAGAATGACAACTAATATAGAAAATGCTACTTACAAGGCAGTACACCACAACCCCACTTGTTACAAAAATTCCTCTCAAGAATTAGTATTATTTCCAGTTTGAGAATATCAAAGTTCGCCCTGCAGTGACTGAATCTTAACAGACATTCATCCATTCAACTAGACCTCAGCATTATCGTCACTCTCTGTGGATGCTTCAGAGACATTATTGCCTACTAAGTCTTGATGAATTAAGTAGGCTGTCTGTTCCCACTGCAAAATAGATTTTTCAGCCCACAAAGTTATTTCTTACCTCTAGCTGTCCTCCACAATTTTTCAGAATCCTTCTAAAACCACTGACAGTATAATTGCATGTTGTCTGTTAGTCCAACTAACAGTTAAACTGTTCTTATGCTACAAACTGCACTGGTGCTCCAGATATTTTCGGTTGTCAATTATTACATAAAAAGCCCTCCTCGGTGGTAAAGCTTTCCACTAGACAGACATTTTCCATCCTGCAACTTACACGTGCATTCTCTGTTCCTAGAGAACCTTGCATCCGAATGTATTAAAGTTCATACTGTGTAATGAAAATCAGTTACTAAACAATGAAAACTACTCTGTAGTAGTCAGCTATCTTCAAAGTGATTTTTTAATTCTTTACGGCACAAATCACCCTGCAGGCTATGTCTTCATTTCCTCCAGGTAACTGCTAAAAATATGAAGGAGAAGGTGGCTGTCTCGTCAGACTGGCCGTTGAGATAATAATTTCGGTCCCATCTCTAGATGCGCATGTCCTGCACCAACTAGCAGTGACAAACATAATTTGGTTTGGTTTAGGAGAAAGTTAATGAAAACCTATGGGTTTGCCTTATGTTTCTTTAGGAGTTACAAGCTTCAAATAAGAACAGGGATGCAGTATACTACACACGTATGAAAAAGTCCCCAATTTCACAGAGGTAAAGTGTACAAAGATGGACAAAAAGGGGAAAGCGAATCAACAGGATGCAATAGGATTGGAACAGATAACTGAAATCATAATCTTGCTGCAAAGAATAAACATCATACAGCTGAGAAAAGAAGTGTCATTGGTGAACCCTGCACACTTTTCCCCATTTAAGGGCTTTCACCATAGCCATACCTGGATCGCTCTGGCTCCCATCACATGCATGAATACTTAATTAGGATGAGTTTGTTAGGGCTCAGAGTGCAGAAACATTCATTTGACCAATCACAGACAGGGGTGGCGACTCCTACCGAAGTTTTGCTTCCTTTAGGTCATTTTGCACACGGTTAAACCAAGATCTAATATCCATATTGCTACTTTGCTCGTTCTTCATGTTCCAGCTTACTCCACTCATCTGACAGGGTTATTACACTGGTGGTGTGATCGGGCTCCCGCCGATGCTGCTGTACAAATACCTCAGGGCATCTTGTCTCTCCTCCCCCTTCTGCGTGGACGACCACAACGTGTTAGCAAGAGTAGGAAATACCAGGAGAAACAAAAGCCCAGCGCTGACACAGCTCAGCAGGTGCGGGTCGTTCTTAAGCAACTTAATTAGTTTTGATCTTGCTCCAGCTCTATTTTAGCCGAGATTTGGGACTGCACAGGGTACCGAACGTTCTCGCAGATGCCGTTTATGAGCTGTGCCTCGCCATCTGCCGTGTCAGGCGCCAGCAGGAGCCTGCTCAGGCCTTGCAGCCACAGGCCTCCCGGCTGACGGCTGCCCTACGCTCCAGACCCCCGGGCGGCACCGCCCAGGCTCCGGAGGGC